CAAAATTTAGGTTTGACTTGCAGACTGAGATTTGACTTACAGACCAGAAAAAAACCAAAATGGAACAAAAATGGCCTGTTACGGGATTAATCGGTTTTCAATGCACTGTAGGTCAATGGAGACTTGACTTACAGACCTTTTGACTTGAGAACCGCCTTCCAATACGGATTAAGTTCTCAAGTCAAGACCCCATTGTACCTTAAAAACTGGCTGGGTCAAATTGGGGTGTATATGCACAAGCAATAAGAACAATAGCTTTGTTCCTGTGCTACTCCATAACAGAATATGCTACTGCTGTATGGTGTAAATCAGCACATGCCAAACAAGTGGATGTAACTCTTAATGAATCATGCAGGATAATTACTGTCTGCCTGAAACGTACCCCCATTGAAAAGGTCTATTATTTGGCTGGCCTTGCCCATCCCAAAGTATGTCAAGAGGTGCTAGCAAATAATGAATGATCAATGCAGCATTTATGTGCATGCAATTTATGCCTCACCGCATGTATGAAATAAGACCTCGCAAATGGTCAAGTAATGCTCTTGAAGTACCCACTTCTGGTCAAAAATAGTCTATCTTCATATTTTAATTTTATCTATACTTCATATACATCCATAATTTTAAATTGTCCAACATTCTGATACAAATAAACACCTTATACATCACATGACCTTTCTGCATGTTGTGTGTTTTATGACTTCTTGGCCTTTATTCATTTATTTTAATAATCCTTGTTGGTTAATAAATGTTTTCAAATGCTTCCATCTTTTTACAGTAGCCTATATTATAGTCTGGGGTACCCAGTGTGATGTAGTTGGTAGAGTAATGGACTCAGAAAATGGAGGTGAGATTCCCCAGCTCTGCAATGGAAACTTACTGGGTGGTGAGGAACTGGCAAAACCACTCCTTAAATACCTCACTCACCTGGAAAACCCTATGAGAGTCATATAAATCAGTTGTAACCTTACAGCACAGAACAAGTTCCACACCATACGTTACAATGGTACAATAGGCCAAACTGAAAGTTTTGTTATTGTGTTACATCTGTTATTTTAAGAAAGCTGCTTCAGACCATTTCTTTTCTGACTTCAATAGCACAGTTATGACCCCATTTTTCATTCAGCTAAATTATGTATTTGTCAACATAATCCACACTTTCATTTCAGTTCTTTTAATAGCATTTCTTTGGTTACTTGGGCTTTTACAATTACTATTAACCTGATTTTCTTAAAATTCATTTTTAGACTGTGCTCACTAGCTATTTCACTGATTTTATTAACTTTGCAGACCACCTAAAGTGCCAGTTAGTAATACTGCACTGTATAGCAGATGCTGATGACAATCTCTTTTAATGATAACCATTCAATTATTTGAAGCAACAAGTGCTTCTCTAAATACATTCTTGGAGTATAATTTGAAAACCAGCGGCAACAATATACCTCCTCCTCATACACCTCTTCATATATCTATGCCCTCTGCCATCTCTCTTCCAATTTTCACTGAAGCTTTCTGTTGCAGTTCATATACAGGCTGCTAATTATATGAATATCTCTTGAACTGAGGTGTTTATTTACTATTAGCTTTATCAGTCAGCTGTGTTGGGACTTTGCCAAAAGCTTTTCTATAGTTAATAAATGAAGCATATATACCCACCAAGTGCATATCACGCCATCTCTCCCCAAGTACATGTAAGCAAAACGCTGCTTCCCTGATTCCAAATCCTCCTCTGAGCTATGCATGCCCTGCCCTTTCTTTGCACTTCTTCTAAACTCTGTCGTGTATTGTCTTTAAGGAAACCTTCCACAAATAGGTCACTAAGCTTATTGTTCTGTAGTCTTCACAAGCTTTGGAATTTTCATTTTGAGGTAAAGCAATAAAAACCAATCTCAATCAAATTTCTGGAATGATTCTTGTTCTATATAGCTGGCTGAAAAGATTCACTGAAAATCTAAGACATATTACCTTTACTACTTCTGATAAAATTAATTAAAGCTAGCTTTTTTGTTAGCCATATTGCATTTGGGATTTCTGATCCTATATCTGTTGAAATAAATTTTGCTGGTCTGTTACTATCAAACAGCTATTTAATGTACTAATTCCACATCACGATTTTACCTTTGAAATCAAGTGCTAGAAAATTATTTGCTTTTATTAGGAGCAAGCATGGTCATTTCTAGAATATGCTTGCTACTGCCTTGGTTTTCAATGAACATTAGAGTCACACTTCTTATCTATATTTTCTCGGCCACCATTTTTCTTTGGCTTTGCTTAATTTTTTAGGTGCCCTTCTGTAATTGTCTGTATCTGATGCTGCCTATTTTTCAACTTTCCTCTCTCTTCTGTTAGCTGTAATATTTCTTCAGTAATCCATTTCTTTTTTTTTTCCCATGTACGTTTCTGCTTTTAAAGTTGTTCTTGGTCACATCTGATAATACTTCTACCATTCTAAAGCAATTAGCCTGAATAAAACATAGTATCAAAATATCTTGGGAAACCCTGAAAGGTGAGATAATAAAGGTCCAAGGCAAAACAATACCACAGAGAAAGAAAAACAAGAGATGTCTGACAAGACCGGCATGGATGCACACAGCTGACAAGCTAAGGGACAAAAAAAAGAGAAGTATAAAAAACTGAAAAAGGGTCTCATAACTAGAACAGAATACTAGCAAATAGCTCAAATCTGCAAGGATGGAGTCAGGAAAGCTAAGGCTCAGAATAAGCGGAGGCTTTCAACAAATGCCAAAAATAACAAAAAAAAGTTTCTTTCAACATGCAAGGAGGAAGAGGAAAGTCAAGGAAATAGTTGGTCTGCTAGTGGGAGAAGATGACAAGAAGGTGACAGGCAACAGGGAGAAAGCAGACCTGCTTAATTCTTTCCTTCCTTCTTTCTTTGCATCTGTATTCATGCAAAAGGAAAAAATGGTCCACCCTGTCAAAAGCAGCACTGTGAAAGACAAGAGAGGGAACCAGGTCAAAATAGGTCAGGAAGTTGTAAAAGAGCACCTAGCTGCTTTGAATGAGTTCAAGTCTCCTGGACCAGATGTTTTACATCCCAGGGTACTAAAAGCACTAGCAGATGTGATCTCGGAACCACTGGATGAAATAATTGAGAGGTCCTGGAGCATGGGCAAAGTGCCAGAGGACTGGAAAAGAGCTGATGTGGTTCCAATCTTCAAAAAAAGGGGGGGGAATGGATCCAGGAAACTACAGACCAATCAGCTTGACATCAATACCTGGGAAAATCCTGAAAAAAATAATCAAGCAGCAGATTTGCGAGCACCTAGAAAATACCAAGGTGATTACTAGAAGCCAGCATGGGTTTGTTAAGAACAGGTTATGCCAAACAAATCTTATTGCCTACTTTGATAAAGTGACTAAATTAGTGGACCAAGGAAACACAGTGGATATAGTATACTTAGACTTCAGTAAGGCATTTGATAAGGTAGACCACAACCTACTTCTGTGTAAGATAGAACAAAGTGGGATAGACAGCACAACTACCAGACGGATTTGCAACTAGCTGACCAACTGCACTCAACGTGTGGTCCTGAATGGAACCACATCTACTGTACGTGGAGGGAAGTGTGCAGTGGGGTCTCTCAAGGTTCTGTCTTGGGCCCAGTGCTCTTCAACATCTTCATAAATGACCTGGATGAGGGGATTGAAGGAGCACTCATCAAATTTGCGGATGATACAGTGCTGAGGGAAACTGCTAATACTTTGGAAGATCGACTCAACATTCAGAAGGATCTAGATAGACTTGAATATTGGGCACTATCTAATAATATGCAGTTCAGCGGTGGGAAAAGTAAGGTCCTACACTTAGGCAGGAGAAACCAGATGCGCCTAAGGATGAGTCAGCAGTGTGCTGCAGCTGCCAAAGGTGGACAAGCAAATAGAATAGTAAGGCATGGAAAAGTAGAAAAATGACAAAATTTGAAGAGATTACAGAAAAAAGATTGAAAAAACAGAAAGAAAAGGAACTGTAAGTCAAATATATAAACTATTAACGCAAGCTGAACAGGGTACACAAGGATTAAAAATGCAATGGCAATATGATTTGGGTAAAGAAATAATAGGCGAAGAATGGGACAAAATATGGGATCAAAGAGTTATGAAGAACATGTCAGTAAGGATAAAAGAAAATTGATATAAAGTAATATGGAGGTGGTATTTAAAAATGAATATAATAGATAAAAGTGTATCATCATTATGTTGGAGGTGTAAAAAAGGGAAGGGGATGTATATACATATGTGCTGGTTATGTGAAGTAAGAAAGCAAGAATGGAATCAAATCTTTAAAGAAATAAGTGAAATAATAGGATTAAATATTCAAATGTCCCCATTAGCTGTTTTATTGAATTTGGTCAATAAGGATCAAGTGTTGAAAGAAAATAAGGATTTAATAGTAATAATGATTACGGCTGCAAGATTAATTTTTGGAAGAAACTGGAGAAATGATAATCAATTCAGCTTAGAGGAATGGTATAGAGAATTATGGGATATGGCAATTAATGACAAACTAACATGTGATATGAAAATAAGAAGAGGCCAATCAAAAAATAACGATTTTTAAGAAAATATGGAATGTATGTTTGGAATATGTATTCCAGAGAGGGAAGGGGTATACACCGAGGGAAGAAACAATGAATTTTTGGAGTGAAAATGGATTGAATGAAGTTTAATGCTAGCCCTGAAGGTGATGGTGGCACTGTGTGATATATAGCTGTATTTTATTTTATTGTGTTTTATTTATTTATTTATTTTTTCTGTGTGGGAGTTGGTTTATGTTATGTAACTCATTTTAGTAAAATAAAATTTAAACAAACAAAACAAAGAAAGCCAACACAGTCCTAGGCTGCATCAACAGGAGGATAGCATCAAGATCACAGGAAGTGATAGTACCACTCTATACTGCGCTGGTGAGGCTGCACTTTGGAGTGCTGTGTCCAGTTCTGGTCACTACAACACAAAAAAGATGCTGAGGCCCTGGAAGGGGTGCAGAGAAGAGCAACAAAGATGATAAGGGGACTAGAGGCTAAATCTTACGAACGACAGCTTAATGAAGAGAATATTGAGGGGAGATATGAAAGCAGTCTTCCAATATCTGAAGGCTTGCCACAGGGAAGAGGGCATCGATTTACTCTCCACTGCACCTGAGGGCAGGACAAGAACCAATGGGTAGAAACACATCAGAAGGAGATCCAACCTAGAAATAAGGAGGAATTTCCTGACGGTGAGAATCATTAAGCAGTAGAACAGCTTTCCTCCCAATGTTGTATGTGCCCCATCACTGGAGATTTTCAAGAAAAGATCAGACAGCCATCTGTCCGGTATGGTCTGAGGTCTTCTGCCTTGCACAGGGGGTTGGACTAGAAGACCTCTAAGGTCCCTTCCAAACCTACAAAGATTCTATGATCTGTATTCTCAAAGGCTTTCACAGCCAAGATCTGATGGTTATTGTAGGTTTTTCGGGCTGTTTGGCTGTGTTCTGAAGGTTTTTCTTCCTAATGTTTTGCCAGTCTCTGTGGCCGGCATCTTCAGAGGACAGGAGTCAGAATTCTGTCTGTGCTCTGGTGCAGTTTGTGAGATAGTTGAGTATTTATAGCTGCAGGATCAGCCTTTTGTCCTTTTCAGGAGATTGGGTGATTATGGTGATCAGTGTGTTTTTTGTTGCGGGTGTATTGCTGTGATAAGGGGGAGATGATCTGTCACTGTGACTGATGGGTGCCGTTAACTGGTCTTTTGCATGCAGTGATCACCGGTCCTTGTGGCCAAACTCTACCCAGCCACAAGGACCGGTGATCACTACATAAAAAAGACCAGCTAACTACACCCATCAGTGAAAGAGGAGAGTGCAAAAAACGGTCTGAAACTCAACATCAAAAAAACTAAGATCATGGCCACTGGTCCCATCACCTCCTGGGAAATAGAAGGGGAAGATATGGAGGCAGTGTCAAATTTTATCTTCCTGGGCTCCATGATCACTGCAGATGGAGACAGCAGCCCTGAAATTAAAAGACGCCTTCTTCTTGGGAGGAAAGCAAAAAACTGAGCCCCATTTTAGACAGCAACTAAATAGGAGCAGAGAAGAGAATATTCTATTTATTCACATTTTCTTACCATTTGTGGAAGCTCTTCCAGTGACTTTTCATTGCTCAGCCACTCCTGACATTGAGCAAGTCCCATTATAAAAATCTCATGAGCAACTTGATGTTTAAGCAAAGGTATGAGTGCTTGGAGAGAAAGATGTTGCCACAACAACAGATTCTCTGGATTTTTGGGAGGAAATAATTCGGTAAATTTTACCTATAAAGAGGAAAAGATTACAGCAAAAACATGGAAGAACTCAATCAATTGCTGAAAAGAACAGAGCAAGACACATACACCCAATCTTATTGTTCATATGTAAAATTCTTAAAAGAAATTTCTTTTTATTCAGAAATATAATATTATATTTCTCCCTATCAAATTATTAAGCAGAGCTAAAATTAGAAATAATCAACCTTCAGTTCCTTACTCAGGATGTGAATTCAGTGCCTCTCTCTGGCAGTTCTAACCAGAGCACCAGCTGAAGTCCAAACTTTCTTAAGAGAAGTGATGGTTGTACAACTATCAGTACTTAGGGCAGTGGTTCCAAACCTTGGGTCCTCAGATGTTCAAAAACTCCCAAAGGCCACTAGCTGTGCTTGCCGGGATTTATGGGAGTTGCAATTCAAGAACATCTGGCAACCCAAGGTTCAGAACCACTGACTTACGAACCTAAGTGCAAAGCATTTCGGCACAACTCGCAGAATCCGTTCTTGTGAAAAGTGAGCTTTTCTTTTTTCCAGAAAAGACAAAAATGTCCTGCTATTTAAGCAGCATTGCTACCACAGACTTAATTTCTATATGCTGTTGGGTTTTTTAATTTTCCTTTTCTTGTATGCTTCATATATTATTCTGCATTACCCATCATGATAATATGCCAAAACAAAAATAGCAAAAAATAATAAATCTTCTTGTCCTTCCCATTGAGTTTAACTAATTCAAATTGTCTCCCATCATCTGGAACGGTTCCTTACCAATTTATGAGACAACATTTTAGTCAATTAATCAGACTGAAAAACACAACCCAAGTAATTATGGGCTGGCTCAGACCAAAAGACATTAGACTAGAACTCACCTGGTGATCAGATGACATGAAGAATAGCAGACGTTTTAACAGGACCCCTAACAGAACAACCTGGTAACAGTCAGCAGGACAGGCTTTTATCTGAATCAGGGTAAGAAACAATTAAGCCTTTTATGTTCAGTTATTATAACAACATTTAAGTAGTTTTTACAATAAAGCAATGTTTGCTAAAGTCCATCTGTCTGTCCGTACACACACACACACACACACACAGAGAGAGAGAGAGAGAGAGAGAGAGGCCAGTTTTCGTGACTGAGTCCAATATTACAATTTTCTGGTTGACATTATTGATTTATCTGTAGCAAGCTTCGGCACAATTCAGCCTGTGGGAAACATGAACCTCCTAGAAACATTTTTACAGCCTCTGGGACTCCCAAAGGCCCACAAGTAAGCAGACTATGATCTATTTTGCAAAAAAAGGGGGGGGGCTGGAAGTAGTGGTTTCCTGCTCCTGGGCCTGGGGGTATTCCCCAACACTCCCACAACCCAGACCCCCAAAATGAACCAGAGTACTCATCTAGGCACATTTTGTTTCTTCCTTGCAAAAACTAATATTCTCAGCAATTTCTGGGCATGGGGCAAGCCTTCAGACTCTTAACCTACAGAGTTACAAACTGAAAATTGCTAAACCTAATTTCACCTCTAATAAAACTCAACTTCTTTTACACATAAACTACCTCTGTACTGCATGAATTACCCTGCTTCCAGCAACTGCAAACAGGAAATCAGGAAAATATTACACAAGAAAAAAGGAAAGAGGGCATAGTTTAGTTCAGCTTCCTGGATGGCTCAAACAAACAAGGCAAATCCATACTATGAGGAGGGGAAAGATCCCCAGCCATTCAATAATCAGACCAAGAGAAGAAAATCATTTCCAAAATTTAACAAAGCCCAACAACTGAGCAAAAGCAATGGATTTCATTCAGGCTATGGCATCCAGGGCATGCCTCCTTCCCACCCAGATGCCCACTTGGGCAGAACTATCAGCTGGATCAGTAGAAATGCTGGGTTCTGTGTCCCAAAGCCTTAGAAAGTGAATTCACCATAGGTGATACATTTGTATATTCTTTCTGAGAAAACACAAAATACATATTTAGTACACAATGGAGAAAGATTTTAAGGAAACTAATGAGAAAATTAGCATTTCCTTTGTTTTGTATACGAAAGTCTCACAAGATTTCAATAGCCCTTGGATTACAAACTGGACCACCTGTGCTACTCCAACTACATATTCGGCTTTGACTGGTTACTTTTAAGTCTGCTTCTGGACAAAACCACATTTGGCTTACCAGGTACGCTACAATAAATGTATGATGAGAACACAGATCTGCTGTTCCATACCTGGGAGATCAGAAAGAAAGCATAATTAGCATGAGTCTCTGATTAGCAAGTAAGTCAGTAGGTTTCACTTGCTATCTGTGCTGACCATGAGCTAGAAAGAATAGTTTACTTACCTGTAACTGTAGTTCTTCAAGTTGTCACCCATGAATTCACACTAATGGTTTGTCTGCATTTCCTGTGCAGTCCTCCTTAGAATCTTCCAGAAATTAAGTCATTATTAGTTCCACCCCTACACACAGTGCGTGCTCCTTCATCCAACAGTTAATCTTCAGTTAACCTTCAGTTCACATGTCTGCTACTAAATTAAACATTTGTGTGGCAGACAGAGGGGAGGCTGGGTGGGATGTGTGAAATCACAGATGACCACTCAAAGAACTACAATTTGTAACCTGTCCTTCTTTGTGGTCTCTCTGCTTCACACTAATGAGTAGCTAACAAACCACTTACTGGCTGGTGAGATGTCAAGCCAATAGTGGAGCAACCTCAGTACATCCAGCAATGCATCCAACGTTGCTGTGATGTCCAAACTGTAATGTTTTACAAATGTCATGAGCTGGGATAGGTTGCTGCCTCACAAATCTTTTGCATTTGGGTTCTGCTTAGGAAAGTTGTTGAGACGGCAACCCCCCTAATGGAATGACCATTCATAGAATCAGGTATTATTTTTCTCACCAACTGATGGAAGAAAATAATATTCACTGGTCATCTGGAAAATATTTGTGAAGAGACCTGGCTACCCTTCTTATTTTCTTGGTAGCACACAATCTGTTCTGCAGAAGTGCTTAATTCTTGATAGACAGAAAGCCACGGAATCTAGTGTATTTAACCTTTCTTAGTCCACTGAAGGCGAGAAGAAAAATGTTAGCAACACCAAAGGCTGGTTTAAATGAAAATCCAAGATGACTTTTGGTAGAAAAGATACATCCGCAAATAGGGTTATTTTATCTTTGCAAAATCTGATATATTCATTTGTTCAAATGGTAGTTTCATCAACTGATGCAAAATAACTGAAAGTGATTATTGTGGCACTGGGGGCTTGATGTCAGGGTATAAATTTCTTAAGCCCTTCAAGAACCTCTTTCATTCTGAATGTTTAAAATACTGTGAAGCAGATGAACCTTCTATCTGGTTAGCAACAGCTGATGTTCTTTTAGAGAAGAGTATGACAATCTCTTCTCTCTTAGGTTCAGTAGGAAATAAAGAACAGTGTGCAATTAGGAGGCTGGTACTCTTCCCCCCCCCCCATCAAATTCTAGTCATCTGATTTCTAGCCTCCATAAAAACTCTTTTGATTGTTGGAGAATTCTCCACACCATTAGTGTCAACCTATTGAGATCTGGGTTGCAAACTGAACCTTATTCTTCAGTTATCATATCTGGTATCATTGCCAGCTGCCAAAACTCTGATGCAATCTGAAGTAGGTTCATAAAGCATTGTTGGCATGTCCACCATGGTACAATCAGAATTGCTTTTACCCTTTTCTTGATGCAATTTCCTTGATGCACAATTGTTCTGTGTATCATTGGAAATGGCAGGAAAAGGTAGACTAGCCTTTTGGACCACCAGATGGTAAATGTGTCTCCCAGAGATTCCTCTCTGCAGCCTGCCCATGAG